AAATTAATAATTTTATAATTTTATACAATTAAAATTTTAAATATAATCAAAATATACATATATTTATATATTTACGGATCGGATCGGATATCCGCTTTCCAAAATTTTAATATTTGTGATTTGCTTCGATTTTAACGGATATTGAATTTTAGTATTTGCTTTGATTCGAAAGTTTACGGATATCCGGAATTTTCGGATCAAATCGAAACGAATAACGGATCGAATCAAATATAACGGATAAAATGCCCAGCCCTAATTCTTATATTATATACATCTAATCTTTGGTATATAATCACCAACCATCTTCTTTTCTATTGTCTTATCTTCACAATCTTAATCCTTCTACATATTTATGAGAGTTTCCAGAGGTGGAAAATATCATCTTTATGTAAAACAAAATGATGGGGAAAAGAATAGCTTCCTTCAAGAACTTGGCCAAGAAAGTGAAGAGCTTCAACACAAGAGAAAGCGGCTCCGAGTATGTTATGCTCGGTGAGGGGGACGACACTTCTCCGACGAAGACGTCTACGGGAACGTTTGCGGTGTACGTAGGGGAAGAGCGCGTGAAGCAGGTAGTGCCGACGAGCTATTTGAAGCATCCTCTATTCAGGATGCTCCTTGACAAGTCACGTGACGAGTTTCACTGTACCGACCAGAAGGTTATGTTGGTCGTCCCTTGTAGCCTCTCTGCGTTCCAAGATGTCCTTAACGCCATCGAGTCTTGTAATGGAAACTTCGATTTCGGCGACTTTGTTGAGGAGTTTCTTTGATATTTTAATTATTTTCTGTATTATTCTTGATCATTTCTCTTCGTTTTGATTTTTTCTTTTTATTATTTAAATATTTGTAGAAAAAAATATTTTTTTGTTAGTAGATATAATCATTTTTTTCAATTTTATTGGTAAGATTTCCTATTTAATTATGAGATGTTTTCAGGTTTGTATAGTAAGTCATTAAATATAAAGAGGCATATCCTAAAACAAACAGTTCGAGTGACATGAAACTTTAGCCATAACCTAAATTCTATTCCAAATAGATGGACCAACATATAACCACGCGGAACCAGAGAAATGGGAGACGGAACGAAACTAAAGAACATAAGCACCCAAAAGTCTTTTAAACCAGATTCCACCAAAAAAAGCTTGACGAGATATCGATACAAGCTCCACTACCATCTACAACGAAGGTAACACACGAGGAACCAAAGAGCAGTAAAGATTAATAACAAAATCTGAACAAGCATCCAATAAGGAGAGAAGAAAAGGTTCAGGATAACCATAATCCACAACTGATACAGTATTTAGCCGATTGTTAGTTTTCGTTCCTATAGGGGTTTGCCTATTTCTTTTGGACGTTTGACTGTGGTATTTAGCCGGCTTAGATAACAAATTAAATAGACACCATTGTATCTAAATGATGTAATCTTCAGTGCTATTCTATCTAATAATAATAAGACCAGATGAAATAAAAAATAAAATAAAGAGAGAGACACACACACATATATATATATATATATATATATATATATAATTCTGAATCAAACATCATGACGGTTTGTAGATGAATTAAATGTCACTACGATATGTACGAATAATGGAATACGGACCTACATGATAACCTATTGCTCAGCTCGGTCCTGATCACATTTTCATGAAAAGTTTCAGTAGGGTGATAGACCATAGATATTTGACCCAAAGACAAAAAAAATTAAACAGGGTTTCTATTTTATAAGGTTCCACAATTCTAAGAGTTGCAGTTTTATATATGTGTGTAATACATGTAAATATCGATATGTTAAATAATTGTTAATATTAAAAAGGAAGATGTTTACTCACTTTCATGTAATTTTCATATTAGTTTAGTTATGTGTAGATTTTTGCTTATAATTATTTTTTGTTAAATATATAACACTTTATAATATGAAAAACATGATTCATGCTAATTTTCAGTAAGACCTAATATTTCAGGTACGGCCTTTCCTAATGTACTAAAGTATAAAAGTAACAATAAATGGTGCCATAGTCAGAGGCGGCCCTTGGCATAAGCCAAGGAAGCAGTCTCTTGCGGCCATTTTATTATAAAGAAAATATCAGCCACATATTTTCAATAGTTTCCTTTAGTCTAGTGGTTAGATCTCAAGGTTACAAAACTTTCCCTGCTCAACCTGGGTTCGAATCCTAAAAAGAGGCCATTTTTTCTAAATTTGCTTCTAGTCTTAGATTTTTTTAGGACCGGCTCTGGCCATAGTTATTCATTTACAGACTCAAAAGACATATATCACTGTAACCAAGATTTGCTATGAGATTTTCTTTAAGGAGAAATGATTGCTACGATTTATACAAATGATCTCCGCCAAAAATGCACCCCACTATTATAAGCAAGTCAACTCAGCCAAAATATATTCAAAAACAGAAAAATGAAGTCAAAAGCTCAACAGTTCTCATTTTATTATATTGTTGTTCTGGTTGTAAATATTATGATTTTATTACATAGTTATACATCTAATCTGTGGTATATAATCACCAACCATCTTCTTAATTACTATTTTCTTGTCTTCACAATCTTATGTAAAACAAAATGATGGGAAGAACTTGGCCAAGAAAGTGAAGAGTTTCAACACGAGAGAAGGCGGCTCCGAGTATGTTATGCTCGGTGAGGGGGACGACACGTCTCCGACGAAGACGTCTACGAGAACGTTTGCCGTTTACATAGGGGAAGAGCGCGTGAATCGGGTGGTGCCGACGAGCTATTTGAAGCATCCTCTATTCAGGATGCTCCTTGACAAGTCACGTGACGAGTTTCACTGTTCCGACCAGAAGGTTATATTGGTCGTTCCTTGTAGCCTCTCTGCGTTTCAAGATTTCGTAAACGCCATCGAGACTTGTAATGGAAACTTCGATTTCGGCGATATTGTTGAGGAGTTTCTTTGATCTTCTTGATTAATTTCTGCATTCTTCTTGGTCATTTTCTTTTGGTTTTGAAAAATTTGTATTGCTTGTCTTTCTAGGAAAAGTTACAATCATTTTTTGTCAACAAGTAATAAACATTTTTTGTCAACAAATAATTATCATTTTTTGTCAACATATATGATCATATTAACAGATATAATCAGCTCTTTTTGTCAACAAATATAATCATTTATAGGTTGCAGTGACGAACACACCTTTGCTGCGTGGTGTGTGGATATTTTTCTCTCGTAGGATTTGTATTACATCACATTGTCCAAATAACAAAACGTATAGTTTTTCATAATTTTTTTACAAAAAAAATAATAATTCATAACTAGGTCTAAATGAGCTGATGAGTAAGTGGTGAATTTCTTTTTTTCTTTTTTTTTAACAACAATAATAACTTTATTAATTAGAACGTAACCAAAACATACTAGTACATACATAATTATGAAAATACAACAACAAATAACTTAGGTAAACTAATGAGACATAAAGGAACATATGAATCTTCTTGAGAGATGATTCTCTTTGAGAGGTCTTTATTAATAGAGTATCCACTCTATTCATTTTTTTTGCGATCTTGATATCTTTGTCGCATTTAAAACATTGATTCTCTTTGTTGTATTACATTGGTCTTCTTCCGTTTAAGATATTTTTTTTGGTATTGAATCCAATGTATTGATTCAATCCTAAGAAATAAAAAATGAAAAGACCAACTTTTAACGATTGTAAGAATATCGCTATACAACAAACAGATTTAAACCTTCTATCTTGCATTGCCACGTATTCTATGATGTAGTCCACGATTTCAAAAATATATTTTGATACCAAATATATTGTATCAAAACATAAATATTGAAAACTTTATCCACTGGCATCAATCTTCCTCCTTTCGTATCTAGATCATGACGAATCCATGGCGATTTCCTGGGAGGGCGTTGTTTCCATAACAAGTGTAGAAAGACTTGTTTGAAACAACGGATATGCCACACACTTGCATGATAACCACCAGAGATTTTCATCGCTGTGATAATGACATATTTTGGTGGCTTCCATGACCATTGATTCCAAAATACAGTGATTAGGATGATATCCTTACCAGATTCTGAAATCAATACAGTATTGTCATCGACCATGGCCCCATAAACCATGTCGGAGATTGTATCGTCGAATTGAAAAGAAGTAAAAACACGCTTCAATCCGCCGTAGGGAAGTATCTTCTCCACAAGAGAGAAGAGCAATAGATAGAGAAACATAAAAAAAACACACCTTGATCAGATTAATGTTTGAGCGATTGAGAGATAGAAATTGCCATATCCATCGCAAATAACCGCCAGGCGCTTTTGTTTTGATTGGTGAATTTCTATATTGAATGGCTGGATGTATCAAAATGGGCTAAAAACATATTAGTAACAAATATATTAACTAATTCTCCGATCGCTTGCGTAATGTTCTAAGGTATAAAAGTAATAATTTTGACCCAAAAAAGGTATAAAAGTAATAATAAGGGCCATATCTATTCATTTACCCGACTCCGAAGACATATTTCACTTTAACCATGATTTGCGACGAGATATATGCATATCTATCATCATAATTAATTTAATATTTTGAAATTACAACTATCTTCGCCAAGAAATGCACCCCACTATTCCAAGTCAACACAGAAACAAACAAAAATCGGAAACAAAAATAAAATAAAAGTCAAAAGCTAGCCATTTCTAATTCTATTATATCATTCACCTAACGTTGGTATATAATCACCAACTATCTTCTTCTTCTATTTTCTTCATCTTCACAATCTTAATTCTTCTACATATATTGTCCTCTTCTATAAAACAAAACAAAAAAAAAACAAAACAAAAATGATGGGAAAAAGAATAGCTTCCTTCAAGAATTTAGCCAAGAAGGTGAAGAGCATCAACACGAGAGAAGGCGGCTCAGGATCAACTCGTAACGAGTCTCTTCTGATCGGCGAGGCGGAAGGGACATCACCAGCTGCGGCGACCAAGACGCCTACTGGAACGTTTGCGGTGTACGTTGGGGAAGAACGCACTAGGCGGGTGGTGCCGACAAGCTATTTGAACCACCCTTTATTCAAGATGCTCCTAGACAAGTCACACGACGAGTTTCACTCTTTGGACCATAAGGTTATGTTGGTTGTCCCTTGTAGCCTTTCCGTTTTCCAAGACGTCGTTGACGCCATTGAGTCTTGTAACGGCAACTTTGATTTCGGCGATTTTGTTGAGGAGCTTCTTTGATTTTTTTTTTTTTGAATTATATTCTGCATTCTTCTTGTTTATATTCCTTACGTTTTGATAATAGGTATTTAAAAAAAGGAAATATGTACCCGTTTATAGGATTTCTTGTGAAATTTGTGATGGTATTTATACATGAATACATTGACATGTTGTAATGATGGACACCCCTTTGTTGCGTGGTGTGGATCTTTGTTCTTTGTCTATTGTGGAATTTGTGTTAGAAACTTTTTTTTTTTGTTAGAATTTATAATCAATGCATATCTATTTGTCTAGATCTTTTATTTTTATATTTGTTTTTTTTTTTTCCTTTATATTGTTCGGTCAATGTATGCTTCAAACATGTTGGGATGTTTGTGTGAGGACATCTCGACATGTTGGTGAGTTTAGTCACATAGCTTTATCACAAGACATGGACATACTGCGACCGTGGATCTGTGAAATTGAGAGGGAGAGATCGACTTATCACAGAAGTTAAAAGACATTAATCAGTCGACTTACTACCGAATGTTTTAAAGTTAAAAACTCATAAGTATAACTGAACAGACAATACTGAAAAGGTAAATATAAAACGATAATATTCACAGATAAATAAACGATTTTTGGCTTTGGAATTATTCTTAAGATAGCAACATCATAGGTTACATCTTATTTGTTTATCTTCGGCAAGTTATCTTGTAGAAGCATAAAAGTATATTCAGAAGCTACTTGTACATAGCTCCCTAGATCGAATATCCATACCACATCGAACTCCCACAACCCTTTCCTTCATTTACAAGGACTAGTTGTACCGAAAAGCAAAATATACATATTTCCTTACGATAAAGAATCAATTAATTAATCAATCACTTTCTTCGTGATTGTTCTTAATTTGACCAAAAAGAAATTCAAAAAATAAAAACGTCACATCTAATATTTAAAGAATTTTTAGTTTTTCTTTACAAATTAGAAACTCTACTTATTCGTCTATTTTTCTTTTGACAACAAAAATAACTAACTATCCTCTAGATTTGGGGAACCAAGCCAGAGATGTTGAACCGACGTAAAACACAGCTGAAGGAGAATTTTTCACACCTCGTGCAAGCTTATCTGCCATAATATTTTGTATCCTTGGAATATATCTGAATTCATGTATTTTTTTTCTGACCAGAAACTTGAGGATATGCAGCAGGGCCGGCTCACTTTGGTATTGGGCCCTGAGCCAAAACAAATTATTTTGCTTAGATTTACATAATACTTAATAAAATATATAGGTTATTTAGAAAATTTTCAAAATTTAGAGCCCTAGTTTGTATAGGAAATTTGACAAAACTTGAGGGGGCCCTGTACAAATGCACTGTTGGCACACCCTCTAAGCCGGTACTGATATGCAGACAAGTGTACTGGTCTAGTGTGGGAGTGCTCTGATCTGACCTACAGGCTTGATAGCACCGAGGTATTGACAATTCCTTTTGATGGGCTTTAAAGCTTTATAACTTCGCTCTGAGACTTTAATGTGCTATCTAGAAAAACTTGAGCCAAACCAGCAATATGCTTGGTTCTACAAACAAGGAATTGAAGAAATCTTAATATGCCATGAAGGAGAAAGATTTCATCATTTCATCTGGCACTTTCTAACTCAGTACTCTTATCAAGTGCTTGAAAAGCTATCTTTAATATGTACTGGTTCAACAAGCCTTGTGTTTTACCATCTAACCTGGAGAAAGCTACTAAAGAAAATGCTTCACTACACCAAAAAATTGGTATGTGTTTTTACTATGCTGGCTGTCTTTTTTTAGTAGTGATATGATATCATAAGATTTGATAATATATGATCGATTTGGTGATGTGCAGGAAGAGAGGACAAGCTTAGTGCGGATAATAGGAAAGTGGTAGACAATTATCAAACAGAACTTTCTGAACAAATTTCTAATCTGTTCAGTATGGTCGCTTCATGTCTATTCAAGCAAAATGCACAGCTTCAGGGTGTTAACATGCCCTCTCAATCTCGGTTAGAGACACATAACAAGGTATCGACTGTTTTGGTCTTTAGTTTTTTTTTAACAATTCATGAGTAGTTTCTCTAACTTTGTAACACTAATTTGCAAATTTGTTTGATCATGTCATTCTTGAAATGAAAAAGAAGGTTCGAGCGTCGAGGGATTCACACTTGGAGACAGTGCAGAATGTAGTCCGCTTGCACAAGGCAAATATAGTTTTTGCAACTATCTTTCCGTATTGTGTTTTAATGTTTTCACCTTTCTATGTGTTAGTGCTGGTCATGCGGAATCAGATTTGAAACACTGCAAGCTAACTCATGAGTCTCTAAAGGAGATGAACAGTAAGCAAGTCGGGGATGTCTCTTCACTTGCTATGTCTGCTTGTGATAGTAACGAGCAGCACGTTGGTGAAGTAAATTCTGCAAGAACTGCTGCTGAGAAAGATGTAGCCAAGATCAGTGATGAGATAATCCAGCAAGTGTTAAGTTCTCTTTCTTATGGCTGATGATCATTATCATGACAGTTCTAAGGAATCAAAACCTCAATAACTAACACGGTCGCCTCTCTCACAAGTCAACTAGGTCTGTGTCTGTATAACTATTGTCTGCGTACACATTTGTGAACACATCTTATGAGTTTTATTAGTCCTTAAAACTAATCCCTTACTTATGGGATTCAGCTTCTTTCACACCTACATTGAAACACTCAACATTGTATAATCTATGGTTCCTTATTTTAGTAGTGGAATATCTGATATCAATCTAAGATCTCAGAGCAGGTTTGTTCTAAAACATTAAGAAAATGCGAATCTTTGGACCCTTTTAGCTCCTGCTGTGCATGCATATACCACTTGATCACTTTCTATATATGACTCAACCAAGAAGATGATTTTCAATTCCCAAAGATGAATATTTTAAGTGGAAAACCAAGTAGCATTTGTGAGATCAGAGTCACTGCGCCACTCAGAAGCTTCATCTTTCTCACAATACCATAAGAATTTCTAGAGATCATGAGCATAAGAGATTCCAATAGACTCATCTTTTACCATTTCAGAATGTAATTATGAACATCTTTTTGTTCGTGCTAGTTTTCAAAGGCTTTACAACTCAGCAACTATGTGTTTGTATATAAAGCTTAAAATAACATGTTATGATATTGGTAATAGCAAATCTGGTTTCTATATATCAAGCTTTTGGTATTTGGTCATTCATTTTAGATAGTGGAACATCAATAAAAAGTGGAGTTATATATATATTTCTTTGGTTAATGATATTGTGTTAGGCATTAGCCTCAAGTAGAGTCAACTCAAGATTTTTAACGATACTCTTGCAAGGTTCATTTATACAAAAGATGCAAGCAAATGTCTATGTGGGTGATGTTTCACAATTATAGCAATGGAAGCACTACACCTAGCAAAAAAAGTTGTGGAGGTATTTCTTTTTATATAAAAAAAAAGAAGAAAATATTTGAGTATGAGGCATACCTGAAATTTTGGTTTTGTGTGGAAGTAATTCAATGCTGAAAGTGTTAATTTGAAACTGTGAGAAGAATCTTTGCTTCACTTTTGGCTTTATCATGTGATGGCCTTTTCTAGTGAAGGCAAATTGCTCATATATAACCTGGACAGTGGGTTCGTTATGTCTCGTGTTTTGTGGCTTTTGTCTATGAGTGGTCTTGTTTAGACCGGTTCTTTATTTTGATCGATCTGTTGGATACATGCAAGTGAATATTCAAAATTTTCTATTTAACATATGTGTCTCACTCTCACCATGTTTTTTGCTTAACAGGAAATAACACATGTGATAAAGGTTAACTTGGGACACGGTGTAAATAAACTTGCTACTACTTAGCTAGTCTCAACTTGGATTTGGCTAAGACAGTTTACGTGGTAACCCAGTAACAGATGATTTGTTATTCCTGGCATTAATCAAAAGACATTCCAAAACTCGGATTAGATAATGTAATAACATATCCACTCTATATCACTTAATGTGTATTTCTGAGGATTTTATTCTATTATACCCCACTAACTCTTACAAAAATTCTTATATGCCTCATCATAAATTTAATTCTTTTTTTTTCTTCTCATAATCGAAATGTGGTTAAAAAATCAATAACCATTAATGAATCAGTATTGTATAATATGAATTACTAGAAACTATTTTGAATTACTTTGAATTACTAGATACTACCTTGAATTACTTTGAATTACTAGATACGACCTTGAATTACTAGAAACTATTACGAAAAAATAAGTAGGGCAGTGAGAAAAATGGTGGGATAGCTAAAATAATTATTTCCTATTTCTGAGGGTTGATCCAACCAGCCAATAGGACATTAAAAAAACAGTTATCAGTTTGTTATTAATCAACAAATGTAACCTCCAATTGAATTCAGTTATATAAAAAACATTTATTACTATTGTTATTAATCAACAAATGTAACCTCTAATTAAGTTCAGTTGTGTAAAAAAGAAAACATATATTACTATTGTTATAGTTACTCTGTAGCTAAGATGTTTGGAATCTTAAACCCATAACCTCTTCCGATCATAAAATCATATTCTTATTTTTAGTTCTCCCTAATGTCGAAATGGAACTTAGGACATCCACCTTAATTTTTATTTGGATTCTTTTTCTTTTTGATAATCAAGAGATGATCCTGACCTTAAATCCGACTAATCCTTCTGAGTCAGACACAACGCTTGGTGATATCCTCGAGTGGATTAAACCCGTACGCCCAACGAAAATCAAACTAGAGAACTCGAGCTTTCACGGAACCACTAGTCCAGCTCCGCTTTGGTATTTGGACTTTTCCTCTCATTAGCATTAGTATCTAACCAAAAAATACATACACTAAAAATCTTTATAAAATAATATAATTTTATAATTTCAAATTAAGTTTTTGTTTCACTTAATATATCAAAAAATTAATAATTTTGATAAATTAATAAAATATTATAGTTTTAGTGTAATCCTAACATTATTAATTTATAAAGGTTTTATTGTATATCCAATTCAACTAAAGTAATATTAAAAGTTGTGACATCAAATTCAGTTATTAGAATATATATAGTAATTAGTATAAATAAGAATTTGAAGTGCATACTTAATATAAAATGTGTTCATACCCGGACAACCAAACAAGAGCAGCCACAATTTTACTCATCTGCTGTAAATGATTAGAGATTACTATACGATAAAGATGGTTTATATAATTGAGGAAAATATCGTCACATAACTTATGCAACATTTTAAAAGACTAAATAAATTTTTGAAAAATAATCCAGTAATACTAATAAACTAAGACATTCACTTAACAATGGATAATTACACGTGAGAGAGCCTAGAAAATAGGAGTAAAACTGCCGACCAAAAAAATAAACTTACAATTTGGATAGAACTAAAAAATATATGAAAATGTAAAAAAAATCAGCTTCCGTATATATTATTTTAAAAATCATTCAGATATAAATCGTTCTAATTATAGTTAAAGAGTAAAAAACTCCACTGGATTAACATATATCCTAAAACTTATCTATTTTCTGTTATCTTCTTCCTCATTTTTAGCCTATATAAACATTACAACAAACTACATTCTTTCACCTATCAATTTCTCTCGTTCTTAATTAGTATACACCACTTCTACACACAAATATCAAACACCACTCAGATCCTGAGTTTTTGGATCAATGGTTGTCTCAAATATTGTTTCTGTCTTATTATTGCTTGTACTACTCAATTTAAGCAGTAATAACATCAAAGGGGTTGAAGCTTTTCATCATGTTTACGAGAATTTTCAATCTCAATCAGTCCAGTCAGTGAATCATCTTCACAGATCCGCTTTTCACTTTCAACCTCCAAAGCATTGGATTAACGGTACGTGATCTCTCTATTTCACATATAATTTAGTCTAAAACGGTTGTATCCTTAATTAGGGTTTATAATGGTCTTCGTTTTGATGCTTTTTTAGATTTCAGTTAATTATTTTGATATAATACTAAATTTTAATTCCACTACGACGTTATTTGCAAAGCCAGATATAAGATCTTCATTTCTTCAAATCCATATTTGCTTGTTATGTGTAAAACCATTTTTTCAATGAACGTAACAAACAAACTTTCAGTGACCTTAGGAAGAAACTTCTTCCCGATAAGATTATGTTTCCCAATAATCACTAGTATCGATAATTAGTCAATAACTATATAGGGAGATAAAGTATATAATTCTACATATGATATTTAACCTGTTTATTTATGCATATGCAGTGTGCAGAATGCATATAATGTAACTATGTTATAGTTTAATAGTTGCATATGCATAGGATAAGTATACTTCTCTTTACAGCATACGAAGTGTACATATTGTAACTGATAGAAAACACATCATATATCACGTGAGGACGCAGCTAGGCTTATTTTTTCGCACAAAAAGCTATGGTTTATATTTCTCTATATGAATGTGTGGCTACATCTCTTTCAATAAATATATCTTGTTGCCTCCTTTATTCTCGTTATTCAAGTTGTTCTACCAAAGAGTTTCATTCATGTGATCCTTTTGTATCACGTATCCTCCTTCTTCTAATCTTTTTTTTGATGAATTCAACATAAATTCAACATAAACTAACCTCATTTTGCTTTGTTTTCGTGTGTTTCCATGTGGCATCCTCGACAATCATAACAGATCCAAATGGTGAGGTTATCAGAAAATACTTCTGTTGTTCTCAATAATATTTTTAGATAATCTAATTTGAGGTACTTGAAAACAGGTCCATTATACTACAAAGGTTTCTACCATCTCTTCTACCAATATAACACCAAAGGTGCGGTTTGGGGTAACATTGTGTGGGCACATTCCGTTTCCAAAGACTTAGTGAACTGGCAGGCTCTTGAACACGCCCTCTATCCCTCCAAATGGTTCGACATCAAAGGTACATGGTCCGGTTCAGTAACCATCGTACCAGGAAAAGGACCGGTTATCCTCTATACCGGCATTAACCAAAACGAAACTCAAATCCAAAACTACGCAATACCCTCAGACCCCTCAGACCCATACCTAAGAAAATGGATTAAACCAGATGATAACCCGCTCCTAATGCCAGACTATACCATGAACGGTTCAGCTTTCCGTGACCCGACCACTGCATGGTTCTCCCAAGACGGACATTGGAGAACCGTGGTTGGGTCAAGAAGGAAGCATAGAGGGATCGCTTATATGTACAGAAGCCGAGATTTCAAGCATTGGGTCAAAGCTAAGCACCCGGTTCACTCGAAAGATTCAACCGGTATGTGGGAGTGTCCTGATTTCTTCCCGGTTTCGACAACCGATTTCCAAAACGGTTTGGACTTGGATTACACCGGTACAAACACAAAACACGTGTTGAAAGTTAGCTTGGACATGACACGCTTCGAGTATTACACGCTTGGGAAATACGATAGAAAGAACGATAGGTACGTACCAAACGGTGATACACCTGATGGTTGGGACGGTTTAAGGTTTGACTATGGTAACTTCTACGCTTCAAAGACATTCTTTGACTACAAAAAGAATAGAAGAATCTTGTGGGGTTGGGCCAATGAATCTGACACTGTTCAAGATGATATCTCCAAGGGTTGGGCTGGTCTTCAGGTTATATATCTTAACTTTACTATATAGTTTTATGAATTTTTTTTTTAATTTTTTCTTAATAATGCTTTAAATTTTTGTTACTAAAGGTAATTCCAAGAACGGTGCTTCTTGACACAAACAAGAAGCAACTAGTGTTTTGGCCTATTGAAGAAATAGAGTCATTAAGAACTAACTACATCCGAATGAACAACAAAAACATAAAGATGGGTCAACGCTTAGAAGTCACAGGAATCACTCCTGCTCAGGCCGATGTGGAAGTGACATTCAACATCGGACAATGTCTAGAGAAAGCTGAGGAATTCGACCCGAGCTACACATTCAAACCGTTCGATTTGTGTAAAATGAAAGGCTCGAATGTAACAGGTGGTGTTGGACCTTTTGGTCTGATCACATTGGCCACTCCTGATTTGGAAGAGTACACTCCTGTCTTCTTTAGAGTCTTCAAAGATACCTCTACAGATAAGCCTAAGGTTCTCATGTGCTCCGATGCTAGACCGTACGTTCCATAACCCATTATATATGCTTAATATTGTATATATAATATGCTTTTCATTCAATGATTCTAACATTAATGAAACATTTCGTTATAGTTCATCTCTGAAGCAAGACAGGGGTCCACTCGCAAAAGATAGGATGTATAAACCATCGTTTGCTGGTTTTGTGGACGTTGATCTATCTGATGGAAGGATCTCTCTAAGGAGTTTGGTACGTATAGTAAGAATATTTGATACTATTATTTTTTTGCTTGGTTGTGTGACATGAAATGGAATTTTTAATTTACAGATTGATCACTCGGTAGTAGAGAGCTTCGGAGCATTAGGGAAGACAGTAATAACGTCAAGAGTGTATCCAGTGAAAGCCGTGAAAGAGAATGCACATTTGTATGTGTTTAATAATGGAAGACAAACTGTGAACGTAGAGAGTCTAGATGCATGGAGCATGGAGAAGCCTTTGCAGATGAATAATGAGCTCTTTAATTAACTTACCCTTTACCCATTCTTATGATGTTGGTTAGTAATTGCGAGACAATTCGATGACATTAGAAAGAAAAACTATGTGATTTTCTGTGTTTATCAATATGGTTAGTGCATGTCAGCACTTAATATATGGACTCTTGTACCTTTCTACTTACTCAATAAATCATTTCAGAAAGCCAAACAACAAGAACCTGTAGTTGGGACCTAAAGTTGGGAAGTGTGTGTTTAAACAAAAAGATAACCATATTAGCTTGGTTATAGCTAAATATCATTTTCTTTTTTTTTGAATAGAATGTTAAATTTTATTCAAAGAAAAAAGACCTTTTGTTACAACCAAGTGTGTTCTTTACTTAACAAGAAATAGAAAAGTTTCTTTTATCTATCAAATCTCTTCATGTATCTCTACTAAACCATGCTCCCATCCCCTTTTCATAATCTGCATCTCCTCTTCTTCTTATCACTGTAAATTGATTTCTCATATTCTTGTCTAGCCTCCTTACTATGAGCTCAACAGGAGCAGCCACTTTTCCATGTCTGCGCCTGTTCCTTTCTCTCCAGATTGTGTGTATAGCTACATATCATTTTCGTTTATGATATCAGTATCTATTGGATACTACAAAACATGGGATTTTCAGGATGTAAGAACATCCACATCAATGAACCCCTTTTGGGTTCATTGAATCATTTTTTTTATTATTAAAAGTTTTCTGTTTTCTTTTTGATTTTTTTTTTAAAAAAAAGACAAAAAAAAAATCTAGACCAATCCCGAGCTGCCACGTGTTGAACCTCGGGAGAAAGGGATTCACCGGGGTGAACTTTAGCAGAGAGGGGTTCATAGGTTTTTGTTATTTTATTATTTTTTTTTCTTGATTTCCGTGTGAACTTCCCCCATGAACCTTCAATGGGGGTGCTCTAAGATGGTAGAACTTTTTAGAAATTTTGGAACGATGAAGAAGAAAAAAAAGTTGGAAAAAAATAGATATCATCATGCAGTAGTTACTCAAATACCTGAAAAAAATCAACTTATTTTGTGTTGATCTTTGATCTGCATGTTCAGAAACCATTTTAATGTGTACTTTTGAGTAAAATCAGCTTAAAAGGTAGGTCTTGAATCATGAATTACTGTTATTGATTGCCAACATATAAAAATTGAATTTATGTTCGAATACTATGGATGTCCTAAATAATCTTCAGGTCATTTGATTTTTAATTTAGTATTTGTAGTTACGATTTTGGAAGCAGATGCGCTAGTCTTAAAATAACTTTTTATGCGTAATTCGCAAAGGACATAGATTCATCATTGTAGAAAAATATTGTTCAAAAGCATTGTTCCCACAAAATGAAACGAACTTAAAACTCAAAAAAACATTGTTCTGACAAAATGAAACAAGCTTAAAACTCAGAGCCTCCTTCCTCTTCTACCACCCTTTCGGCGAGTACTGTCTGTTGGGACGGGAGTAACATCCTCTGCAACAAACAAGAACAGTGTTAGCAAATGCTCCAAAGACATGTTAAAACCAAGCCTTTATGTCTTAAGACTTACCAATGCGGCCAATTTTCATGCCAGAACGGGCAAGAGCTCTGAGAGCAGATTGAGCACCAGGACCAGGTGTCTTGGTCTTGTTCCCACCAGTGGCACGGAGCTTCACGTGCATAGCAGTGATTCCAAGCTCCTTGCATCTCTGAGCAACATCTTGTGCAGCAAGCATAGCTGCGTATGGTGATGACTCATCCCTATCAGCTTTCACCTTCATTCCACCTTTAATCAACCCACCACAAAGATTAAAACTCAGAAACTAAAAAAGACTAACAACAAACTTAGATACATTACCAGTGATACGGACAAGGGTTTCACGTCCAGACAGATCAGTAACGTGCTGCACAAGTAGAGACACAACAATGTCAACTTCCCCTTGTAAAAGATAATGAGATCTCTTTCTCTCTTTTTGTTCTAGAAAACTTACAATGAAAGTGTCGTTGAATGAAGCGAAGATGTGGACAACACCGAAGACTTGCTCTCCATCACGAACAGCTGGTCCAAGAGTCACTGTCTCCTCCTTGGGCTCTCTTGTCTTTCTCCTCGACTATACAACATAAAAACACTAAGTTTCATTACAATAAACCCAACTTCCCATATCATCTCAGATCAAGCTCTATCATTAACATACATTGTCACAGCAATCTCATTCTCAATAAAAACGAAAACTTTCACATTCTAATCTATGATAATCAGAGAAATGAGGGAACTTTACATTCAGACAAAGCTTACCATGTTTTAGGGCAAGTAAAGGATATCAAAGAGCCTCTTGTTCCTGTTGTTTCCGCCGACACAAAGTTTAGCAAAAAGAAGCAGAATCAAGAATCGCTTTTATATTAGGGTTTCGAAATACGTTTTGGGCTGAGTCTTTACTATTGGGCCAGAATTAGCTCATTAGCTCGGCCCAATTAATATTACCAGTTTGTTGATGCTTCCTCAGCAACGTCGTCGTTTCATGAATTTGATTCAAACATTGATTTTGACTTTGGTTCATGGACTATATTAGTCTTGTATAAAGTATAAACTATCGACCAGACTGATTCTTACAGAGATGATAATGATGCAAACACATTAAAACAGAAGAAGAAATGATCTCGGCATTGAATTCAAAGAGTATTATAGTTTCTATGAGACACGAGCAAGCTCCACAGCTCTTTTGAGTGCTCCTAAGAGACTTCTCATGATTCTTTCTTCTCCCGGAGGTGCCTTATCTTTCTTCCTCCCATTACGTGTCGCTATGAACACTGGTCCTGAACCTGAACCACTCTCTGTGCTCTGGTACACCAAACAGTCTATGTAAACCGGAACATCGGTTTTGCCTTCATCTTCCATCACTATGAATCCTAACCTCGCTCCTCCACTTATTCTATCCACCTGCTCTAGTTTCATTCATATGGTTAGTGCCCAAAACTTTGTTGAAATATAGATATTGATCAATAGCAAAATCACCTTGAGAGGAACAGGAAGAGGTATGTTGGCTCCTTGGCAAAGACTGTTCGCCCACTGTTCCAACAACAAAAATGTAACATAAGCAAAAATCGCTAGAAGGAGGGGTCGAACCTCCGACCTTGTGGTTAACAGCCACACGCTCTAACCAACTGAGCTATTCCAGCTTTGCATGTTCTACCACATTTGACATTTTACCTGAAAGAGAAGAGTTTCGAATCTCGCGATGTCAGTATCCATGGGAAGCTTCATGGTACCGAGTGAAACACCGTCTTCCTCCACAGGCAAAGCATTTGCTACTACAAATCGCCTCTTCATTTGCCTACGTGTAGCGTTCTTGGTGCTCGCTGCGCCATTTGTTGGAGGAACAAGAAGCCGGCAAGGATTAGGACGGAGAAGGAACTTAGCCGGAGATCGGACGCTGGCAGTAGACGGGAAGAAGAGAGCCGCTGCTGCTGCGTAAGACATTTTGTTGGTGACGAGAGGATCTGAGAGATAGCGTTTTAGAGGTTATGAGTTGAAACATGATGACACGTTGTCGGAAAAAAGACATGCTGACGTGTTCTGTTTGAAACCGTTGATTTTAAGGAGAAGTTGTGAAGTAAATATTCGATTATTTGTAACAAGGTATGTTGAACAGAGATAGAGACAGAGACTTGACTCATTAAAATCAACCTTGACAAAAAACTAGTGTATAGTAGTAACAAGGATCAGTACAGAGTTTATGGTTCTTCATCACGTCATCATAGTATACTAATCAATCACTTTGGTCCTCAGAATCTTCACTTCGTGTATTGGTCTGAAATTTGACAGTAGAAAGGAGTTAATGGTTACTCAATGGGTCAATTCTCAGTTGACTTTGAAAGAGTATGACTTTACCTGTCGGTGTTGTCGGTTTGGACACTACCGAGCCTCTTGATCACCTCCATACCACGGCAAACTCTGCCAAATATCGTGTGTTTTCCTGGAAGATGAACATAGAAGAACAACGCTAAGAGAGACAATTCACTTGATAGGATCTTATAAACATGATAGTAAATTAAACCGATGTTTACCATCCAAGGAGGGAGCAGGTGCTAAAGTGATGAAGAACTGACTCCCATTAGTGTTAGGACCAGCGTTTGCCATTGACAAAATCCCAGCTCCTGTGTGCTTCAACTCTGGCTTTATCTCGTCCTCAAACTTGGAACTAGTACAAAAACAAGGCAAAATGTGTCACCCCTTATGACAAATGGAAAAAACTATATACGACATGCAAATATGAAACGGACAACGAACAGAGCAAACTGAGCAGTATCAACTAACGTGAGATATCTAGAACCTTGTACTACTTAGTCAATTATATAAATCATGTTCTGAATAACGTTTTGCCCGCTTTCAAAACCTCTTGGGCTTGAGTGAACATAAAACAAAAATGCAAAACCAAATCTGTTTGCACTGAATATCAAATCCTAATAAAGCTAATTTACCAAATCTTTCAGAGATCCTAGCTATCTCCTCCTGATCTAAATTCGTTGACAATGAACAGACAGAGCACATTGAGGCAGTGTCAACTAACATGAGAGATATCTAGAACCTTGTGCTAGTTGATCCACATTAAAAATAATGTTAACAAATTCTGAATAACATTCCCCAAGCTTCAACGTCTTTGAGTAAACATAAAACCAAAAGAAACTAAATATGTTTGGCAGTGAATATAACAAATCAAAAACTAATAAGCTTCGCCATTTCACATCCATGGGAAGCACAACCAGTAAAGCTATAGCACTGATCAAAGAAAGAGAAAAAATGTACCCATAAATAGACTGGCCACCTCTCCCAGTTCCAGTAGGGTCACCACCTTGCACTATGAAATCCTAAATCAATAACCAAAGGAACAAACTTTCATCATAACAGTGATCTCAAACTACAACGAAAACTCAGATTAGAAAAAATAAAGATGAGACCTTGATGATTCTGTGGAAGAGGACGTTGTCATAGTAACCTCTCCGTGAGAGCTCCACGAAGTTCCGGCACGTTCTCGGTGAGTGTTTGTAATACATCTGAGTGAGAGGTAATGTGAAACTTTCAAAAATCAAATATCAGTAAAACCCTAGTTGGAATTGAGAAGAAGAATGGATCATCAAATCACCTCGACGGTGAAAGGACCCATGGAGGTCTCCAGTGTAACCTCCGGTGGACTTCCTTCAGGTCTCGCCCCCATGTTTCCAGAGAGCAGCGACTTGTCAGAAACCGAAACGCTTACTATATCCGTCAATATCGGGTCGGATCTGATTCTTCCATTCTTAATGGGCCGAACCGAGAAATCTAAAGTAGTTGGGCTTGGTTCTTTTTTTTTCCTACAAGCCCACAATGGATCATGAGAGGAAAGAAATCAAATGTATCCAATTCGAGTTTATCATTTTTTTTTCCTCTATTTTTTGATATAAAGGGAAGTTATATGTCTGATTCTTTCAGAATCTAGTTTGATTTTTTTTTTGGTTATAAAATGGTAGCTGTAAATTTTTCAAGATTTTAATGATACAGAATTTTTGTTACTAGTTTGAGAAAATTTAATAATTTACATATTAAGTTTTACAAAAAAATATAAAAAAGAAAAAGAAGCATGTTTACATAATTATTTTAAAATTTTACCGACTCCAAAAGTAAATCAATCCACGGCAAGAAAGGACTTATCTAGCGAAAGCTTACATTCTTATCAAAATTCTCTTTGGGTACTCCAACATCTTTTGACCTAGCCATCATCATCATGTTCTTACGAGAGAGAAGAAAAGGAAGAGAAATATGCAAGAGCCATGAACTTCCTTTTGAACTTGTGATGGAGATTCTCACGCGACTTCCTACTAAATCCCTTATGAGGTATAAATCCGTATCAAAGCTCTGGTTATCTTTAATTTGTTCCCGATATTTCACCGACCGTTGCCTAAAGGTTTCATCATCATCACCGAGTATATACATGTGGTCCTTCAAAAATATATTACTATCATCATCGTCACCTTCGGACAGTACTACTATGTCGTCCTTTGTTATTGACCAAGACTTGACTATTCCAGCAATGGAAGGCTACTCCGTCTCTCAGGTTTTCCGCGGTTTGATGTGCTTTATAAATGGTCCAAGTGCAAAAATATATAACACCGCCACTAGACAACTTGTCACCTTACCCGACATCATAGCTGAACATCACAAAGATAAGGAGTTGTTCATGTACCATATCGGACATGATCCTGTTCATGATCAATACAAAGTGCTTTGCACAGTTTCAACAGGTCAAGAAGGCATGGGACCATACAAGTCAGAGCATTGGGTTTTACTACTAGGAGGAGATGGATCAAGTCGGTGGAGAAAGATTTCAAGCCCGTGTCAACCACATCTTCCTTTAACACAAAGATTGAGTATCAATGGGCGTGTCTATTACCTAGCTTGGGTTCATGTGTTTCGTTCTGTGCTCGTCAGTTTTGATATTCGTTCTGAAGAAATCAGTATCTTCCAAGAACTTAATGACCACGTCTTTTACTATGAAGATACTGCTCTTATAGAATATGGTGGAAGAGTAGCTATTTTAGACCATTTCGTTTATGAAAAAAAAAAGGGTGAGATGGAACTATGGGTTATGGATGACACGAAGAAGACTATTTGGTCGACATATATTCGGTTTGCGATGGATCCTTCTCAGTTGCATTTACTCAGTGGCATCCGTTTGCGTTTGAGTTTACAAGGTACAACTAGAAACGGCGAGGTTATTTTGGTACCTCAAAATACATGTCCTAATCCAACCCAAAATAGCACCATCCACATTTTTCTTTACAATCTACAAAACAACAATTTGAGAAAAGTTGAAATCAAGGAAACATCCAACCGCTATCTTACTAAAAGTTGGGACTTTATTGGATTAGATGATGTTGAGAACTTGATGTATCTTTAAGCGCTTATGCTTGTTTTCTTCTCCCCCTTTGGACTTGTGGCTAGATTTTAATTGGTTTGGAAACATTTTTTTTTATTTTGTTTGGATGTTTTTGTTGTTTTTTACAATATCTGGCTCATTTGGAAGGAGTGTCAAAGAAAGTCACAATTCAGATAATTTCTCTTTAGTCATCCTCGAATTCTATTTACTTGACTAGTCTTTTACATGTGCTCTGTAATACTTGTATTGCATACATATGGGAGAATTCTTGTCACAAAAAGGACTTGTATGTTATGAGATGCAAAACGAGCTTGGCTAGACGGATTAATTACAAGAGAAGCGTCATCATGTCTTTGACTAGTGGCAAAAAAATTATAATTCAACATGTAACATTCAGAATTTCATCTACTATATAACATTCAGAATTAAACTGAGTTTTTTTTTTTTTTTGCATACCTACGTTTGCCAGCTTCATAATTTTAAATATGATATTTTTAGCATTCTTTTATCTTGAATTATTAGCTGAGACCCAGTAAAGTGGGGAGAGTAAGAAGCAACAACTCCTCTTATATCCGGACCCTAACAAATCAACTCAACCAAATATTAAACACTTACAAATTAACTGCTAATTATTTCTAACCAGTCATTACTTTAAACCAGGACTATATAAATACTTGTCCACCTTCCATTACTCTCCCACCACAAGTAGAAAACATTTCAATACACAAACAACACACTTCTTCTTTCTTTGAATCCTAATTGCAAGAGAGAATGGCGAAAGAGTCCACCACCATTGACGTCGGCGAGCCGAGCACCGTTACCAAAAGTACAATCCATGAGAAGAAGAAGGGCTTTGTGGCAGCAGCTGCAGGAGGCGGCTACAAGAGAGGTTTGGCCATATTCGATTTCCTCCTCCGTTTGGCGGCCATAGGAATTACCATCGGTGCTTCCTCCGTCATGTTCACCGCCGAGGAGACACTTCCCTTCTTTACTCAGTTCTTACAGTTCCAAGCTGGTTACGATGACTTCCCCACATTTCAGTAAGTCCATTTACATTGTCTTAACATATATATATGCTTACTAATTTACATTACGTTTTACACAATACATGTATGTACTAGTATATTTCTAACTATGGTTATATATACTATTTACTAATTTACTCTTATAGTTTTAAGTTTTAACTGAAATCAAATATTAAAATTCATGTTATTGTAAGGAGTCAGTAATGTTCCGATTATATATTACAAAGTTGTGTAGTTATCCATTTTAAACTTGTCAAACTAATGACTTAATGAAATATAAACATGTAAATCTTTTTGAAGGTTCTTTGTGATAGCAATAGCCATCGTAGCCAGCTATCTCGTCCTATCACTTCCCTTCTCCATCGTAACTATTGTCCGTCCACTTGCGGTTGTACCCCGGCTCATCCTCCTCATCTCTGACACCGTAATATCCCCTTTTTTATATTCAATTTATTTATTTATTATTTGTAATTTAATTCATTCTGTTTAATTTATGTATATTTCAAGGTGGTCTTAACGCTTACCACAGCAGCTGCTGCTGCGGCAGCATCAATTGTCTACCTTGCACATAACGGCAACTCAAACACCAATTGGCTCCCTATTTGTCAGCAGTTTGGAGACTTCTGTCAAACCGCGAGTACTGCAGTTGTAGCCGCCTCTATCTCCGTTGTCTTCTTCGTCCTTCTTATTGTTATCTCAGCCATTGCCCTAAAAAGGCATTGATTTGATATTTTCCGCGTGTCAAGATGGAAAAGGGATCTAATGTCTTCATGTATATGTGTGTAGCGTGTGCTTTGTGGAACATGAGAGTTATAAGTATATGGTATCGTTATGGTGTTGAAAATGTAACCGGAGTTCATATATTTTAAGAAGATTTGTCTTGGTTCAGCTTGAAAGCTTCGTATATAGAAAAAAAGGAAATTTGTGAGGATATTATTACAAATTATTTTGTATTCGAATCATTATCCGAAATCACATGCCAAATTTATTCAAACAAAACTAACATTGTATTTGCGTCTAGATAAAGCATCAGTATGCTAGAACGAAGAACTCTGTCCTTTTAACAAATTAAAACAAATAAATATTCGTTTAATTTTTCAAAATAAATAACTAATTTTTATGTTTGATTGTTTCTATCCATTCTTGTCTAGTTTTGATGGAAGTTTGTCCTTAGGTTCTCTCAACAACATATATATCATGGCTCAGGACCGGTCTAACTTTATTAAAAAACTTCTAATGCCCTATTCTAAGATACAAATTTATGCTACTGTTCTTCATAATTTTTTTTATAGTTCACATATACATCTAAAATTGTTGTATACAATTGGGATGTCCTAAACTATTGGTTCCGTTGCCTATGCCCAGGAATTGTGTCGACAAAAGGAGAAGCCATTTCAGTTTAATAGAAAGCCTGAAAGTTCAGTAGTTGACTAATCAAAAGAGTTAATAATCGGTAATCGTCAGCTGGGTTATCCTTATGTTCGAGTACTATGATTGGTTATGCTTATGCATGAATATATTAAGAACCATACAAGAAATATGTGGTTCGCTTAAAAAGTACTCCACTAATTACTAACATGAAATTAGTTAATCATTCGATTACCAGAGTTCGGTTGTTCTATAGGCATAGAATAAAATGAACATAATTAAAGTTCATTTACTTGCGGACGTACGCCAATTTCATTACACTTTACATTTCTTTCGACTTTAATTGTTAGCTCAAAGCCAATCGAGTGGGGAATAGTAAGGCACAACAACTCCTCTTCTTGTGGACTCTTAACAAATCAACTAACTAAGTATCAAACTTAAAAAAAACTCGTCGTTAGTTAGCTACTAATTGTGCCTAATCAATTACTTCTTAATATACATTTACTATATAAACATATGTCCATCTCCCTTTGGTTTCCCACCACAAGTACAAAGCATTTCAACACACAAACAACAGACATACACTTTTGTCTTTCTTTAAACCCCTATTGCAAGAGAGAATGGCGAAAGAGTCTACCACCATTGACGTTGGCGAGTCGAGTACTACCGTGACCAAAAGTAGAAGCCATGTCGTGGTGGACGAGAAGAAGAAGAAGAGCTTTGTGGAAGTCACCGCAGGAGACGGCTACAAGAGAGGTTTGGCCATATTCGATTTCCTCCTCCGTTTGGCGGCCATAGTGACCACTATCACGGCTTCCTCTTTAATGTACACAGCCGAGGAGACTCTTCCCTTCTTTACTCAATTCTTACAGTTCCAAGCCGGTTACGATGACTTTGCCACATTTCAGTGAGTCTAATTTCATTTTCTTACGTATGATTATTTAATCTTACATCATGTTTTTACACAATGCTTAGTTTGTCCGGTTAAAGACTTAATGAGATATATAAAATGTAAATTGTTTTGGAAGGTTCTTTGTGATAGCCATAGCCATCGTCGCCAGCTATCTCGTCCTTTCACTTCCTTTCTCCATCGTTACTATTGTCCGTCCACTTGCCACCTTGCCCCGGCTGATCCTCCTTATCTCCGACACCGTAACTCCACTAATAAACCTATTCTCCAAGAAAGAACATATATAACTTTTTTTATTTCATATTAATATATTAATCTCTTTTGTGTTATGATGAAGGTGGTCGTGACGCTTACCACATCAGCGACGGCTGCAGCAGCCGCGATGGTTTATCTTGCACATAACGGCAACTCAAACACCAATTGGCTCCCTATTTGTCAGCAGTTTGGAGACTTCTGCCAGGCCACGAGTAGTGCAGTTGTAGCCGCTTCTATTGGAATTGTCTTCTTCATCCTTCTCATCATCATCTCAGCCATTGCTCTAAAAAGACATTGATCTCCTTTTTTCAACCTGTCAAGATCGTAATGGACCTAGATGTTTTTATTGTGCTTGTTCGTGGCTTGTGCTTTTGTTGTATCATGAAAATGTGAGTACTATATATAGTATGATATATGGTATGGAAAAGTGTAACTAGAATTGTTTATGTCAAAAAAGAAATTTGTGAAGGTTATGAGTAGGCCATGCAGATACGGTTCGGATGCTTTAGGTTGGTTCGGTTCTCATAACATATTGCTGAGTTGAACCAAACAAAAAATCGGTACATTCAGTTGATTAGGTTAATGAAAATTTTACCTAAACTAATCAAAGCTTTTGGTTAAAAATGGGTTATTATATTTTATTTTGATTTGAAATTTGGTTAGTTTGATTTAGAATTTTTGTTAGAATTCGAATTCATAACCGCACTTGAACTGAAAACCTTTTTGGTTCGGTTCGGTTCCGATCAATATCCCATTTTTAGTTCTGAGAATTCATCTAACTGCTTCTTGAATTTGATAAAATCAAAGTCACCGAGACCAAAGATAAAACCCAACAAGCGATACAAAACCTAAAATCCCAACAGCTACCGTTAAAACGTCAAATACCAATTCTACCCTCATCGTCTTCTCTTTCACATCTCTCCTCTTCTCCATAAACTCCTCGTGTCTCCTCTTTGACTCAACTTCTCTCCTTCCTCCATTTCCTCTTTTACCCTCCATCACACTCCTCAAAATGACCAAACTATCCTCCCCGTTCAAATGCGTTCCCTCCATCTTCTCCACCTTCAGACTCACCTCCTTCACGTGCACCTCCTCCTCCCCGCACGTGACCACCGTTACCACACACTCCACCGACCCCACCACCGTCGCGAACTTCGCCTCCACTCCACCGCTCAGCCAGTTTCTCTGCACCGTCACCGGCCTGTGACTCGAAAGATCCGCCGCTCGCTTCCCTATCGGATCGATCACTATCCAGCTCAACGTCAGACCATGCTCTAGATCACGACACGTGTCTTCCGTCCACCTTCCTCCTCCCTCGATCGCCGTCGTCGGCACCGTCTCCTTCGCATCCACGAGATCGATCCGAAGAGGCGAGCTACGGAACCACGCCGTCGTCGTCTCCGTCTTCACCACTCTACTCAAAACCAGTTTCCCTCTGTAGTGGACATCCACGGCGGAGATCAGCTCCGGGAACGGACGGTCGAGATCGGAGACTGGACCGGCGTTGTCGAGGACGGAGTATGCGTCGGAGAAAAAAAGGCGGGAATCATCGGCGGAGATGGCGGCGGTGGAAGGCCACGTGGAGCGGCGGAGTTTGGACCAGAGGAGCTCGTTTGAAGCGAGCTTGTGGAGGTGTGAGGAGGTGCAGGAGACGGAGGCTAGGGTTGGGCCGTCGAGACGTGTCAGGATGTGGGATTCTATGATGTCGTGATGGACGGTGGAGATTAAGTTCGTTACCGTGGAAGAGGAGGCCGCCATGTCACGGTGGTTGCTATTTGCTAACGGTGTTAGTGATTAACTACTAGTTGCGAGTGATTTTAGTTAATGGTATTTGATTAATCAAGTGAAGGGATTTATATAAGAGTGTAGAAGTTGTTTTGGATGAAGAAACCCATGTTTTTAAAATTTATTTACAACAATACCATTGCTGCAATGGGGGGCAACTTGATATTTTTCTTTTGAATTATTTGTTTAATGTATAAGATAACTGACCCTACAAAATTAGATGAAAGTTATATTAATATGATTGTCTCTTTGTGACATCTCCATTAGTGTATTATTAAGTTTAAGATTATAAACTAAACTAGATTTTGACCCGCCCTTAAAGAGGGCGGGTCAACCGTTTTTGCTTTAAATTTATGCCCTTGTTCGATTATTCATAAGTATGTATAGGCATGAGTATCCGGGTTCAGATTGATTGTCGTTAATACTTTGGTTTGGTCCGACATATATAGAGTAAATAAAATTACGTACAATTTAATGTGTGGTGTAGGATTTATTTTTTTATTCGTTTTAGTTAAATAACAAATTATAGGGACCCGATAAATTATGAGTTCTATTCGGTAATCTAAAGTATTGATTTGTAAAAAACTGAAATAAGATAATTAATTTTTAATAATTTCATATTGGTTAAAATTGATTTTTTAAATAAAATTTATTTTTAGATATATTTTACCAATTCGTTTTTGAATCATTCCTAGACAGAGACCCGTTTCTTGTTGATAAAATTATTAACTCGTTTATTAGATGACAATAGAAATAAAAAAATGTATTTGTGAGATCCATTTGTACTCAAGAAATATTTAACATATTTAATAAAACAATCTGTAAATATTAATTTCATTAATTGCAGATTAATTTTGTAAAATCAACTTTATTTTAAAATTTAAAATATTTATTTAAAAAATAATTAAAATTTATGTAAAATTATAGTTTTTAAGCGCATATATTTAGTAAATTTATTTCATATTGATTTTAAAATGCAATCTTTGTAGTTATTTATTTAAACTTAAAAATTAACATTTATTTGGTCATTTTAAATCATAATTGCATCATGTGTAAATATTTTAAAATATTGAAAAATATTTTTCACATAGTTTTTAATTGTAATTTAATTGCAGATGTTAAAAGTATATTGGATATATTTAATTTTGAAAAATAGATAAAACAATTATAGAACAAACATATCAATCCTAAAATTAAGGAGGGGTTAAAATATTAGATTTTATTGTTATTTGGTAATTTAAAATTGCTTAAAATTAATATTGTTGGATTAAATAGATTTTGTTAGGATTAAATAGATTTTGTAATGAATTAAATAAAAATCATAGGTTTTAAATATTCTAGTGGCATATCTGTAGGTATTATAGATTTTGACCCGCTCTTTGAAAGCGCGGGATTTCGTTTTTGTTAATCAAACTATTAATCCGTTTATTAGTTTATAATAAAAATGACAAATATATTAGTTTAACCTGTTTATACTTGATAAATATTTTGTGACCTGAAGCAAATGACCATATTAAAGAAATTTTAGCTTATTCCCATATATATATATATATATATATATATATATATATATATATATATATATATATCAAAATGAATTTTTGACCTGTATACAATGCAGAAATGATAATGATAATTGTAGTTATATATGGTATGTAAAAAATAATGATTTGGAATGTATAAATAAAATAATATCTTTTTTTCTATTTAATTTTATTTCAAATTAAAAGACACTATTCATTTAAATCAATATGAATTGTTACAATTTTGAAATACCCGCATAATCCGAACAATATTCATTTTATTAGATTTTTAGTTTTACATCACCAAGCATGATATTTTTTAAAATAAATATTATAAAATCCATATGTCTACCTAGTAAGACTTCTTAATGGTAGATAAAAATGGCACTTCTCTTTTAATAGAGAAGATATAGACTATAATTATAAATTTATTAAAAATATCAATCTATTTTATTTTTAGTTTATAATAAAATTTAATTAATATAATTTAAACTAATATTATGTTACTTAATTACGAATTAATTAATGCATTATTTAATAAAAAAGTATTTAAAAAGTTTAGTAGGATTTTGTTAGATTTTTCTCAACAGATTTCTTTATAACTAAAAATATAATTAAAATTAATAATTAAAT